TAACCGTCTTTAGAAATCTCTGATGAGGGAAGATCATCGAAGATGTTTCATAATGATATCGTACCAAAATGATAACATATTGCGGTAACTGGGTTAACTCATTGGATAATTCCTCCACAGGTTCGATTACAACAATTTAATAGAATGAATTTTAGAAGACAGGATCACTAACTAACTGACAGAATATATATATATATATATATATATATATATATATATATATAGTTCAGCTCAGAAGGAATACTTGTACTTGATTTGAAAAATAGGTTAAAAATAATTAGACATCAGTTATTGTATATTTATTTCATACAATCTAATAAATACGCATAAATGAATTCTACTGAGCCTTTTTTTCTGGAAAAAGTAATTCGTTAAAATGTGTATACACGTTTTATGTCAGCTTGGCATATAACGCAAACCTTCCACCCCACTAAATGAATATACGTTTCGCTGATGACAGTTATCATTTATGTACGAAATATTCAGCAAAGGCAACATAACTGCAGATTAAGTAGGTACAAAACACGGTTTTCGGATTACGATCACTGAAACTTCACTTCGTGTGACATCAATGTGAAACGATCCATGAATTAATCAAATACTTGCGGTAAATATTTTTATCACTTATTGTCCCGTCTATGGGATAATTCCACGTGAAATAGACTGTTTCTTTTGGAGTATCACTGCTTTTAACAAAATTAATTAACTGATATCCAGTCGTATGACGGTAAAAGTTATCGACAATTCTTTTAAGTTTATACACTATTTAGACAGTGACTGTTTAATTCGAATCATGGTTCTATCATAGTCAATTTGTTCATCATTCAAAAAAGTTTTTCGAAGTACAGACAATAGCTGGTAAACCTTTGAAAATCTAGGTGCATCGGGATCCCTGTCCATAAAATGTCGGGGGCTCTCAGTAAGGTGAGCTGACAACCCAATACATAACTTTCACTACCAGATCCCATGATGAACCGATATCATCCAGCCATAATCCAGTGATCCTTAATTCACTTAATTCCTTCCTCCCATACAAGTTGATTCAGTTCTATCAGGTTCGACTTCTCATAAAAATTTATCGAGAACAATTTTGAATGTAGTCGTTAGTGATCATAAGACGATTGTTTGTTTGTAGAAATTAGCTCAGTTAGAAGATATTTGTGCCATTGGTCAGTGCTGATCCGTACTAAATGTCGAGTGAACTTGATATCCACCAGTTATGTTCAGTTGTATAAAGTTTATGTCATCATGTTATTTAGATATAATATTGATTATATCTGCTTAATTTTAGTCAATTCTCGGTATAGCTTGATCATCATCCAATTATTATTCGCTATTTAATTAAATCATCTAGGCTTATAATAATAAATATAAGTTCAATCTCTCACGTATTTTTACCAATCTGTACATCTCATTGCTATTAGCTCAAAAGTAACATACTATGAAATAATCTTAAAAAAACTTTATTTAGTTAGATGACCTTAAATACCTGCAGGTAACCTTGACCGCTGAAAACAAGGACACTGATTTGAATAAAACATAAAATACTTGTCCTTTTCAAAAGCAATCAATATGGTTTAGAAGACATGGTTAACATTCTGTTTAAACAACCTATTTTACTAAGTCTATTTATAGATTGATGATACTGAGCTTATTATTGTTTAAATTACGTTCTGGATTTAAATAAATACCAACTAAACAATAAATCTACTGGGTTCTTTTTCCAAGACATTAAAATAAACATTTAGCTCCGTTCGTTTATTCAGAAATAAAAAATATTCCAAATTCTATTCATGAAATTAAAAACCTCTAATCTCTGATATCTTTGTTGTCATGCTTTAGAAGTAACATACTGTCAAGGGAGAATGAATAAAAAAGAACGATTGAGTTCCACTTTTCCATCCGATTCAGAGGAACTAATAATTTATTAGGCACTTAGTTTCATGAAATAGTATGGGAAATAGATCAAGATTAACAATGAATAATCATCAGTATACGACAAAATTGCCAGGACGTTCCACGTACCTATAAAAATTGTTGCTATGGTTGTTAGAACGGGCATCGGCCTCGTGACTTCTGAAGAATCTCGCCTTTCATCCTGAGGCGTCACAATTCTTCCTTCAATTCCCAGGGCACAGTTTAAATGGTTTAATTTGTTTAGTCTGGTTGGTGTTGCCGACCTCATGCCCAACCCTCGTCCTTTATCCGGATTTGAGACCGGCAGTAACTCTAAGAGAGCTACAGGTGGACATTCTACTGAAAGAAGAATCTACTTTGGAACATAACTGGAGAAGAATCAAAGAAACACTAATTTCAACGTATCGAGAGATTCTGGGCCGCAAAAACCATCATCATAAGGAGTGGATCTCCATCGAAACCTTGGACAATATTGAAGAAAGGAAGAACAAGAAGATAACAATTATCAACACCCGGACACAAGCAGAGAATGCGAAAGTACAAGCTGAGTACACAGAAGCAAACAAGCAAGGGAAGAGAAGCATTAAAGAGGACAAGCAGAAAGACGTGGATGAGCTGGCAACGACGGCAAAAAACCGCAAGAGGTGGTAATATGAAACAGCTATATAATACAACGAAGAAACTAGCAGGGAGATATAGTCAACCAGAGACCGGTAAAGGACAAAGAAGGTAAGACAATCACGGAGATTCAGGAACAGAGGAACAGGTGGGTAGAATACTTCGAAGAGCTGTTGAATAGACCAGCCCCATTAAATCGACCGGACATCGAGGCATCACACACAGACCTCCCCATAGATGTCACCGCATCAAAGACCGAAGAAATCAGGATAGTCATCAGGCAAATCAAGTGTGGGAAAGCAGCAGGGCCTGACAATATACCAGCTGAAGCACTGAGGTCAGACACTGAAGTAACTTCAAACATGCTTCATCTTCTATTCAAGAAGATTTGGGAGGAGGAACAAGTATCAACGGACTGTAAAGAAGGACAACCCATCAAGATACCAAAGGAAGGAGATCTTAGCATGTGTGAGGACTTCAGAGGTGTCACACTACAGTCAGCAGTAGGAAACGTTTTCAACATAGTGTTGCTGAACTGGATGTAAGACGCAGTAGATGCCCAACTTCGAGGTCAACAGACCTGATCTCGTAAGGGTCGGTCGTTCACAGACCAAATAGCGACACTACGGATCGTCGTTGAATGATCAATAAAATGAAATTCGTCACTGTATATCAACTTCCTTGACTATGAGAAAGCATTCGACATTGTTAATAGGTGAAACTCATAAATCATTTTCGACACTATGGAGTACCTGAGAAAATCTTCAAAATCGTACGGAATTGTCACGACTGACTGAACTGCAAAGTGATGCATGGAAGACAGCCGACAGATGCACTCCAAGTGGATAGGACATACATTGAGGAAATAATCAAAGTGTTTCTCGAGGCAAGCATTAAATTGGCATTTTAAAGGGAAACAGAAAAGAGGAAGGCCGAGTAACACACTGCATCGTAATCGGAAGCAGACATCAAGAGAATGAATAGCAACTGGAAACAACTGTGAAGGATTACCCAGGACAGAGTTGGACTGTCGATGCTGGTGATTGACCTATGCTCCTTTAAGATGGGTAGAAGGATTAAATAAGTAAGCTTCAGGGATCCTGTAGTGCAAAGGGAACTTTTTAAATTTAGTTAAGTGAATCATAAAAATTAATTAAATTTGAACTGGGATCATATAAAAAAGCTTTAGAAACCAAAATACACTGTCAGCATTTTCGTCCCGGTTAGGCACCCTGACGGCATCGAAGACGTTAAAACCGAAAGTTTTCACTCATGCACCATGAGTGCTCAAACGAATAAATTACTCTGTAACAAATGTACTTTATGATCTGTATGAAAAAATCGCCAAAAATTAATCGGTTAGGATCAATACTGGTAACTGAAAGAGAAAATAACCACGAAAATACATTAAAATCAGCACTTATTTGTTTTAATTAATAGATGTTGATGGTTTATCCTCACTGATAGCTCCAGGTTCTTAAATTATGATTTTAATTCTACATGAGTTATTTAAGTTGTAATAAATTATTATAGTGGATAACATTTGATAGTATTCATTGGTGAATTTAAGGTTGAATTTTTAATGTGTGTGTGTGTCAAAAGACTGACATGCATGTTTATTCAGCTGATTTGTCTAACATAGGATGGAAAATTTGTCCTCTATTATACTGCATTTTTTTTATCTAATACAAAGTTATCAGATTTCTAAATACCAACCTGTCCTATTTGATTTTATATGGCGATGCTGTATGAATAGTTTTATTCTAATGAGTGTTAAAAAATTCACATGAGTGTGATACATAATTCTCCTGTTAAATTTGGCTAGATGACATTAGGATTTACGTACTCTTACGTATACTTGAACAATAATTACAAAAGTTTGATCAGTTCAGATTGTTTGAAAATAACATTGCTGAATCAATATTATTTAAGTATTATGTATGGAAACTTAATAACTACAGATAAAGAATGGGTTTGCATTTAAATATTATTTGTTAGTTAATACGTATTATCTTCGTCGTTTTCTATGTTTTATTAATGATAGTTACATGCAGATTCTCATTAATAATAATAGGAGTTCAGACAGAAATAGAACATGACATATTCTGTGAAAATGAATAGAAACTAACGAAACATCGTAATTTACAGCTTTTCTTCGGTTCCGAACGGTTTTAAAGTTATATTCGGTAGTACAGTCACACCAAGATTCATCATCAAAACAAATAGCAACTAACTTCTTATCAATTACACTGAACGTCAATTACACTGAATAATCCTTAATTGCGTCGTTAAAATCCCAAGTCCTTTTAATTATGAAATATATTGACCGCCCACGATTCCTAATTGACCAATAAAAACAATAACAACTGCATTGATTTTTAAAATAACCAATAAGATGTTAACAATTTCCCCAATTCTTTCATCCATTCACACAAAGCTCATAAAACCTTGATGATATTATTTCTGAAATAAAATGGAAAAGGTCTTTGATTTACAGTCGACATGATCGGCACAGAATTCTTGGATTATTTATCAAAGTTCCAAGTCGCTACCTATGTCGGAGTTGAAGATTTTGCGGATAAATTTAATTTTCTCATAACAGTTATGGTTCTTATGCTTTGTACAACAATTGTCACTATCAAACAGTATATGATGAAACCGATTTCATGCTACATGGCAACAGATTTGGGTGGGAAAAACTTATTAGATTATGTTGAGAACTACTGTTGGGTTCAGGGCACTGTCCCTATAGCATATTCTGGTCGAGTACCAGAGACAGATGAAGGTTGGGCGGAATTAGAGAAGCATAAACTACGTGAGTATTTAATTTCCACGTTTTAAGTATAAATTTCATGTCTTGTTGTAGGTTTATTTACGACCTCTAAGAAATAACTGAATCCATCATGTAGTATATTTAGATTGTCTTAAAAGTCAACTTCATCAAGAAAAGTAATTAGTTGAATGATTAGTAGATAATACGATTTCTGTGCGAAAAATAATGATATAAGTGCTTGTTTTACAGCTAATAACAAAGAATTATTGTCATAATTTTTTTTAATCTACTATATCTTAAGTATTCACTCACCATTGAGAAGATATACATAGGGAAAATGTAATTAATTTTTTTCTATTATCAGTTTATGAGCTTATCTGTTTAGACACGTTCAGTAATTGCATTGATTAATCTATTGTAGCACAGTAGCAACTTAGGATTGTAAATAAATTCACTCGTTGCTAGTATCTTTGTACAAAAACCAGTCACTAATCATTCAATTTTTCGCTACTCCAGTCACTTTTATTATTGGTTATATTACAACCCAACTGTGTTGGTGACAGCTATAGCTTGCAAGAAACACGAATAATTAAAACTTTAGATCTCTGAGTAAATCATATTACGGAGAGATTAACAGCTACACAAGTTAAATACCAACAACTGTCCCAATTACCGTTTTCCACTTGCAAAGGAGTTTTGTAGGTTTTAAGCCATATATACCTGATAATTATTTGCAATATTTCAAATCAACCATAAAACTGGATATATTCTATCTAATAAAAAACGAATTGATTCTAGTTTTGCAGTGGTTATGATTTATGATTACTGTGTTTCTTGATTCGGCTTCAATGAGTAAATTATGACTAACATCAACTGCGAAGTCGTTGGAGATTAGTTGGAATTCAAAATCTGCTTCGTCTCAATTCTGGGTTCATAGGCAATGAACATGCGTAACCTCACGCATGGACCTCTGATTCGGTGCCCGAAATTCCACTTAATTCAAGCTATAATATGTTCATCATTCATTATTGTTGATGAGTCTCTGTTTCACACTGTTGGCATGTTCGAAAAATCAGTTTTATTTAGTTAGACGTATCATCCTGAACAGAGGTAAAGTTACCTGAAATATTTCACTCTTCGAATAATGCATTTCAAAAAATGGTAGAAAACTCCCAAATATTTAACAGTTGATCAGCAAGAATTGGATTTCCGTATTTAAATAGTTCTGTGTCTGCTTCTTGTTTACTTAAGGAATCTTTATGAAATTCAAGGCCATTTCGTTTCTGACCTATTATTCTCTTGATTTGTTAATAACTTAAGATTATTTTATCGAATCGACCACAGTAATCACTGTGATCACATACCTAGCATTAATAGAATGCAGTTCTGGAAAGCTTATGTTACTACTAAAGATCTAATTATTTATTAAATTATTCATTGATTTATCTCTATCTTTCAACTGATTTTAAACATATATATATATATATATATATATATATATATATATATATATATATATATATATATATACCTGTATAGGGTTGTGGAGACTATCGAGTTTTAATTGAGATCATGAACCGACCAATGTTAGACCTAGGTTCGAGTCCCGCGTGCAGGATCATGGATGCACACTGCCGAGAAGTCCTATACTAGAGAATCAATCGTCTACCTCTTCCAGGTTTTCGGTAGTTGTCTAGCATTGATTGGTTCGTGATCTCATATATATAAATTAACAGTCAACTGCTTTTATGCACTATTGAGCTGTCTCTGTGTTTCTAACCGGCAAAGTGTTTAGTTCTCTTTGACAAGTTGAGTCGTTAAACATCTTTAGTTAGATGGCTTGGCCTATTTAATTTTGCTTTCATGACATGATAAACAATTAATTTCTGTCAAGTTGAAGAAGTCAGTACTTCATTAGTGTTTCATTAATGAGATTCATAATGGTAGCTTATTATAGTTGTCAAATTATTTAATTTTAACTTTAATCAACAAGAAGTCGTTCAAATCAATATATGGTCATAAAACTATCGGACCGACTAGATTGTAAAGATGAAAATGAACATTGTTTTATTTCATAACAAACAAATTTTTTTTCTATCTCGAAACTACCTAAATTTCTACTTTATTTTATGTAGTGTATTATCAGTGGGTGCCATTTGTTCTTGGCCTACAGTGTATTTTATTCTATTTACCTCGATTAATTTGGCAAATGATATGCTATAACAGAGTTGGGACAGATGTACATCATTTAGTCTTATGTGCTAATCAAGCAGTACATGCTAATGATGAACAAAGAACTAAAATGGTACAACACTTAGCAAAAACATTAGAACAATTATTATTTCAGGTAAGTCTACGGATGTCTATATAATGATTTTACCTAAGGATACTTTAATGTTATCAGAATTTTTGGTCAAGTGTCTTAAATAACTTCTTTTTTACTTAATTTAGTAATCACACTCATATTTATGTACTCACATTTATGAGTTCTAGTAATTCTACTTCACTTGTTATGTTGTAATAGGCAGAGACAAATTTAGATGAAGTCCTGGTGATTGAAAGTGGAGAGATTCAGTCGTTAAGTAAATGATAACGATCCCTTATAGACTATATAAAATTGATTTAACCTGACTATCGTTTCTTGATAACTACGGATCTATTTTCTATGAACTGATATTTTAGTATAACAGTTTCCGTGTTCATTGTGTTATTTCTTTAGTTGACATGGAAACAAGTCAATCCTGCTTTTTTTTCTCTATTTCGAATCAAGTAATAAGAATTTGATAGATCCTAATTTGGTGAGAAAATGTGCTCGTTTCTTTGCTATTTGCTTTGAAAATAACTAAGTTGAGACTATTCACATGAAATTGTATTTAGTACTTCAGAAATTGGTATATAAACTTCTTATAAAGCATTCAGTGTAACTAAATTGGTTATGATGAAGAGTTGTCTAGCTGTCCAGATTTTGGAAAGTTCACTACAACCAAAAATGCACTATTTGCGTGTTGAGCACCTGCATTCTAGCTAACCTAAATAGAATACATATGCATTCCAGATAATTATATTATATACTTTTAACGACTCTATATAATTGTTTTATATTACAGTATTATAATTTCACAGTGAGTATCTCTAGCTATTAAGCAAATACCTAATATTTTGCTCTGCATACTCTTCAAACTAATGACTCATGATTCTCTTAGATCTTCATAGAATTATCCAACTATCGTTTAGAATTCACTCAATAATGGTGTTTTTCTCCTTAAAACCTACTGATATCCCTACATCTATCAACCGCTGAAAAATTGCTATCAAAACTGAAGTCAATCGTTTAATGAATCATACTGATTTATCTAATGAAACAAGCTTAAAAATGTTTCACCAGAGAAGCACTGATATTTCGAAGAGAATAGGTCATCTGTTGCATTAAAGCTTAAAGTGATGATGATCTCGAATTTCAGTGATCATCTTTACGGAATTATGTCACAAATTTCTTTATCAATCAGTCTTCATAATCGCACATCTATCATTATATTCAGTTGTGCGGAGAATATATATATACTTTAATTTTCAACATTCGCAATGAAGTTTTACACACATGTACGTGACCATCGTCATTAAGGGTGAACCGAAATTGTCCTGACTAACACGAATAAGTGTAACTATATGTTATAATGAAGTGATATCCTAGCTAGTGGGTTACTTGTCCCAATTAGTTACATAAATGAGATTTGTCTGCAGTCAAATGTAATGACGTAATTCAATAACCACGAACAGGTTCACGTACCTTATTTAAAACCATACTTATCGTATGAACGATGCTACTTGACTGTCCGAACTGAGTCTAAAGAAGTGAATAATTTTGAATGTTAGGAAGGAAACAACAAGAATCTCTGGACTAAGATTTCATGACGATTTGTATTAATCTACACTCTTGAAGAATGAGGCTTCAACCCATGGTACTCGGTGATGGTATCAGTAAACTTACCACTGAGCTGTTCTAACCTCGACTGACCCTCCTTTATGTTATGTCTAATCGACATTACTTACTGAATCTGTCAATAAGAATTCCTGAATATAATTTTTTTTATCCTGCGTCTACTATTCAGAATATAACCTAGCGAGTCTAACCTCGAGTACTTTATGGACAACACAGTTAGCCGTGAGCTGACATAAGCTATACTCTTATAGATTGCCTATGAGAAAGCATTTTTCTGTTCTCAGCCTTAAGTTCGAATAGAAATCAGAAGTCAACTTTCTGTTATCCCTATATTTCAACCACCCAGTCCGGCCGGCCAGAACTGCATCTATATCAACCACTCATCGGCCCATATGTAGGGATTATGAGGTCACAAGGCACACTAAATACGAAATCATAATTTCAACACAATCATCCCACTATTCGTAGCGAGTTGTGAGAACAGTATATAATTAGTTAGCAATGGTAAAACCTATAACAGGAGTTAATAGATCCACTGGGATTTTATAATAAGAAGAATATAAAAATAAAATAATGCATTTATCTACTATTTATACAATAAAAATAATGATAATAATCCGAAAAATAGGTCCAAAACTTCTAACTTTACCGATATTCGTTATGGCATACAGGACTGACGTTTGGACACTAATCTGCGAGATGAGAGTAACGAACATCATAATCGAACTGAATTCTGTCGGTTAAACTACTGAAGGTTGTAAATAACTTCTAGTTGTTGGATGGAGGCTAACAGTAGGATTGAAAATGGGCATTTAGCCATACAAATCTGCTTAAAATAGTTGTAAATAAATGATAGTGTGGGGACAACCCGCACAGGATGCATATATTCCAAAAGATACTGATAAGTTGCAATCCTAAAGATCATTATTAAGATCCAAACAACCAACGCAAATGAATCAAATTATACATGTTTATTGATTAGCTTGAAAATATACCCAGTTTTTTATAAGCGAGAATGATTTAAAGTGACTTATTTTAAAACAATTTTCAGCTTTATAGAATGACCACATCAGAGTAAGTTTTTTTTTAAGATCCCAAGTTGGAATGCAGACCTACATTATGTTATCACCCAGCTACCTCCTGGATCATTTTACAACCAAAGTTCATCCTAAGCTTTTGACCAATAGCTTCTTATTCGTTTCCATCTATTTGAAATAAAGAAGACACACATTTTTCAATATTATAACTGCTAAAAAGAGCCTAGAAACATCCTAACGAGGAAGACCGGGGGAAAAGAAGTTTGCTTCTTGGATTCCATTGATGGTTTTTCGTAAAACTACACAGTACAGATATCTCAAACATTAACATCGTTTATTATCGAGCGTATAGTTAAACCTCATACTGGTTTTTTATCATTTCATGTGATTTCGTTAATTCAATTAAACTTACTATGGTAAATCAGGGTCACACTACTCACATTGTACGTGTAGATTTATCAATTAGTTGAGCATACATCTCATGAATAGTTTACTCACCTGAGGTTCATTAGCCAATGAATGATAGGTGAGGTCATGCATAACAGTGGCTTAGATAACATTTACAATGTTAAGATGGGGTCATATCTACTTATCACATTCGGCAATAAAGCATTATTATTTGACTGAAATTTGGAAAACACTAGTCACTTTGATTCCATAATTGTACGATATAATCTAAAGGTCCAAGTTTCTTTTACATGAAGAATAATTTTTTTAGTTTGTTGAGGTATCTAAGAACAAGGTTAACAAGATGACCACTGCTCGCTGATTCCCTATGGTCCCAAAACTAATAAAGTCTGTGTGTGATCAAATACATTTTAATTATCCCTGACATTGTTTATACGCATATAAACAATAAAAGCTCTGAAAGTCAAGGGGTGAGTTCTAAAAATATTACTTCTGACAGTTATCAGTCACCTTCAGGAGTTTATAGTCTCATTTTCAGGATGATAATAATCTCTAACAAATTCCGGCTTTGTTTTATGTTGAGATATTTCCTTCACTTCACTCAGTCGGCTCCCTCTCTTCAAGTTTTCATTCTGTGCAAAATCCACTTCCTACAGTTTCTTTGTAATTCTTAGATTTATTGCTATGAAAAACATCCTTAAATAGTCAAAAGACAATGATACGAACTTTAACTTCACAGTTGTATAGCTAGGCGGTTATCATTTTACTTTTTGCTAGTCATTTTAGATCCTTTTATTTATCATCTTGTCTATTATCAAAACGATTGTGTGTATCATTCTGACCCCATTCAAGTTTCATTTCATCCTTAATGCTTCCATAGCTTCAAACTATTATTATTATATTTCTTATTTGAAAGTATTCCCCTCTCTTTAATAACTTCTCATATTCCTATGACTCTATTAATAATTGTTTTTGATATCACTTCATTTCATTGAACCCCTCTATTATTATTATTTTAATCAGTGTAACAAAATCATTTTAATTTTCTCACTCTACCCACATTATATTTCATTGCTCTCAATTCATACATGCTTCAAATAAACTTGATAATTGAACGTGTAATAATCTACGAAAGGTGGAATCTTCGTGCTTCAAAAGTATAAAACTTATCTACTGTTTTTCAGCTATAGTACGATTTAAAAGCTTTGGCTGATGTATTAGTCAATTCTTTTTTTAGTCTGTATACTTATCAGGTGAAATTTTTTGAGTATAAGTAGCTACAATTATCCTGGTCACTAGAAATCAATTTACAAATACAACAATATACAACTTTAATCATAGTGGATAAGTTCAAATTGTTAAACTATACAAAAGGATACAAAAAGGCAATCAGTCATGTGAGAAGATTGTTATTACAACTCATTAATTGAATACATATTTGTATTTTAGGTAGGATACTATTCAGATGCCTAAATTGAACTTGTCTGCTCCATAAAATAGAGTTGCTAGATGATGTTTTAAATTAATAATTGGATATATTTATTCACTAATTTATTTATACATTTAATATTCCAATGAAACTGGGTTAGGTTGAAAGAGTAAATTCGACTAAAAACATGTAAGCTATTTTAATAAAAAAAATAATATAAGTATACAATGACAATAGTTATAATAATGATAATATTAATGGTGAAAATAATGATTTAAATTGTTTCTTTTTGGTGGAGTTTTGTTCTCTGATCAAACCATTCAGCTCAGAGAAGAAAAGCTCCAGCAAAATCATTGACCTGATCTACAAATCTTCTACACCATCTCAAAATTATCTTATTTTTTTTACACCATTAAATTTAGCCTTGGTAATATATGTATATGTATCATAGATAGTACTGGTTATTCCTATCACAATGAACAAAGTTATTCTTAGCGTTGAAAATTTCTTATTTAGTACATCTAAGTGTTTGA